GCTGTGGAGTTTGATTAGGTCCCATTTGTCTATTTTGGCTTTTGTTGCCAATGCTTTTGGTGTTTTGGTCATGAAGTCCTTGCCTACACCTACGTCCTGAATGGTTTTGCCTAGATTTTCTTCTAGGGTTTTTATGGTGTTAGGTCTTATGTTTAAGTCTTTAATCCATCTGGAGTTAATTTTAGTGTAAGGTGTCAGGAAGGGGTCCAGTTTCTGCTTTCTGCACATGGATAGCCAGCTTTCCCAATACCATTTATTGAACAGGGAATCCTTTCTCCATTGCTTGTTTTTGTCCGGTTTGTCAAAGATCAGATGATTGTAGATATGTTGTGTTGCCTCCAAGACCTCTGTTCTGTTCCATTGGTCTATATCTCTGTTTTGGTACCAGTACCATGCTGTTTTGATTACTGTAGCCTTGTAGTATAGTTTGAAGTCCGGTAGTGTGATGCTTCCCACTTTGTTCTTTTTGCTTAGAATTGACTTGGCTATGCGGGTTCTCTTTTGGCTCCATATGAAGTTTAAGGTGGTTTTTTCCAGTTCTGTGAAGAAGGTCATTGGTAGCTTGATGGGGATAACATTGAATCTGTAAATTACTTTGGGCAGTATGGCCATTTTGACCATATTGATTCTTCCTAACCATGAACATGGAATGTTTCTCCATCTGTTTGTGTCTTCTCTTATTTCGTTGAGCAGTGGCTTGTAGTTCTCCTTGAAGAGATCCTTTATGTTCCTTGTTAAGTTGTATTCCTAGGTATTTTATTCTCTTTGTAGCAATTGTGAATGGCAGTTTGTTCTTGATTTGGCTCTCTTTAAGTCTGTTATTGGTGTATAGGAATGCTTGTGATTTTTGCACATTGATTTTGTATCCTGAGACTTTGCTGAAATTGCTTATTTTTTTCTTTTAGTAGAGACGAGGTTTCACCATGTTGGTCAAGATGGCCTCAATATCTTGATTTCATGATCTGCCTGCCTCAGCTTCCCAAAGTGGTGGAATTACAGGTGTGAGCCACCATGCCCAGCCTGTGGCTTCTTAATAATTTATTTCATTTTATCTTTGTCATCTGCAATGTAATTTTTTTCTTTTTAAATGATATTTCATTGTTTTGCCATAAATGTCACTCATTTTTCTAAATGTACTTTGATATATGTATGAGGTTAAATACATATATTTTTTATTTTTTTAAATTATACTTTATGTTCTGGGTATATATGCAGGTTATGCAGGTTTGATTTTGAAAAAAAAATTTTGTTGAATGTAGAATTTTAGGATGTCTGCAATTTTTTTCTTTCAATACTTTCAAGATATCATCCATTATCTTCTGGCTACCATATCTTCTTTTGAATGTGTGTTGAAATTTATAATGTTGCTCCTTTTAGAATCATGTTTTATTCTCTGGTTGCCTAAAATATGTTATATTCTCTTTGAATTTCAGCAGGTTTACTATATTTGTATATGTGTGGTTTTCTTTAAATACCTTTAAATATGTGGCTTTTGGAAAATTCTCAGGCATTATATAGTCTTAGGCATTTTTTCTGCCGCATATCCTTTTACTTCTTCCGGAGTGCCATTTTAAACATGTTTAAATTTTAACTATTTTCTCTTTCAGTAATTTTTAATACTTTCTGTTTTCCATCCTTCAATCTATCTATTCTTTAGCCTGAAGATTTCCGACTGATCTTTATTCTACCTAAATCACTATTATCCTATTTAGCAATGTCTCATTTCCCATTAAAATAATGTATTCAGCCTTACTTTCTGTTATTTTATGTTTGTAGGATTTATATAGTATTGTGTGTGTGTGTGTGTGTATAACCCAAATATGTGTACATGTATTTCATTTTTTGCTTAGATTCTTTTTTCCTATTTTCTTGAACATGTTATAATTAATATATACATAATTTGTGAATCTATTATATTTTTTATTTTTCTTTTCTTTTTTTCCTGTTTTGTAATTTGCTTATGCTTCCTGATGTTCTAAGTAATTTTTTATTGAATGCGAAGTGATGTGATAAAAAAATTGTGGAAATTATTTAAAGTTTTAAATGATGTTAATGACTACAGAGCCATGTATTTAGACTTTAAAACACAGTTAATAGAGAAAGATAAGACCTGACTTGGTATTGAACTGATTTTAAGATAAGCTTTAATTTTGAAGAGATTTGGCCATTTTAACTTTGTCTTTGTGCCCAAGTTGTAGTTCTTTAGTTTCCAAGTGAAATTCTGAAGGGCTTTCCTCCTTAGAAAACCATAAACTTTAGTTTTGATTGCTAAATTCCTATTAAGCTACCTAATGTTCACCTCAACATCTCAAACTCTATTCTGCTGATGGATCAACGAAGGCTTTGAGGGTATAAATAGATGTTGAGCTCACCCCTGATTCTTCTTCTGTAGCAGACCTTGCTACCTCAAATTCTTGCTGTTTTGATAGCTCTCCAGTGTTTTCAAACATACCTTTAAAAACATTTTAAATAGTCCTCTCTAGTTTTCCAAGGGCATGTTATTTGATAGAAACAATTCTCCCACACCTGAAACAGGTAGTGTTTTTATCGTTCAAGTTTTTTCTTTCTCAAAGACAAAAAGGAAAATCTAAACACAACTAGAATGATAATACAAATTATGTAAAAAGGAATGAGACCAAAAAGTTTTTGGGATGACAAAAATAGATCAGAAAATGGTTCATTGGTGTTCCAGTTAGTATAGTTGCATAATCAATTACCATAAAATTAATGTCATAAAAATTCTTGTTATTATGCTTGCAAAGTCGGTGGGCCAAGAATTTGGATGCAGCACAGTGGAAATTGTTTGCTTCTGCTCCAAGATGTCTGGATTCTCAGCTGGGACAATAAGCTTAGATTACTTGACAGCTGGGGACTGGAGTCATTAGAAGTATCTTTACTCATTTGTTTTTTGGCTGATTCCAGATGCTAAATAGGATCTCAGCTGAGGCTGTGACCAGAGCCTCATTGGTCTCTTTTTGAAGATTATATTTCCTCAAGTGACCTCATGATAGTCAGACTTATTAAATGGTCATTCAGAGCTCATAATTCAATGTGTCTGTAAGGTAAAAATTACATTAGTCTTTTGGACTGTATTGAAAGACATACAGCTGCATATTTGCCACAATCAATTGGTTAAAAGCCAGTAACAAACCTAAAAGTTTTATTATGGGGAGAAGAGTAGCATAAAAATCTCATCTCTCAATATGGGAGAGGTGAAGTCACTTTGTAGAAGACTTTGTGAGATGGGAGATATTTTTGTGGCAAGCTTGTGAAGATATGTCACAAGGGCAGAAGCATAACAGATGTAACCCAGAACTTTAAAAAGAACTTAATTATCAAAAGCCAATATAAAATATTCACACAAAATCTGAGAGAACTGATTATGAACAAACCCATACTGAAAGATCTATAAGATACATGCCAGGAAATTGAATCCAAAATGAAGTAAGTATCAAGAAGCAATGATAAAAAATAAATTGTTAACTATATGAGTAAACTTCACACAGAATCTAAAGGTCAATAATAATTATAGTAACTAATTAGAATAAAAATAATGTGGAAATAAAATATTGGATGGCAATAAGTTAAGAGAAAGGCCAGTCATTGTGTTTAAGTCAAACATGTTCAAGAAGCAACAGGAAAGCTGTATATACAAAATACAACATTGTATGGCACAAAGTCCATGATAATCAGTGCTTATATTAAATCTAGAGAAATTAATTTTACCAGTTAAAATATGGTAAAAATAAATTACAGAATAAAACTTATTAGTGACAGTCTGAATATAAAGGATATAGAAAGATTCATAAAAATGAGATGGAAAAGATAACCAACATAAATATTAGCCAAAAGTAAAAGTTTAGTTTTTTTTTTTTTTTTTTTAATGACAAAACAAAACCTGGTAAGATGATAATGAAATAATTCACCATGAGGGTAAAAAAAGAAATCTGAATCTTTATATATTTAATATTACAGCCTTAAAAGACATTAAAAACAGAAACTGACAAAAGAAAAATAAATTAGTTATAGAGGGAATTTTGGCATACTTATTTTAACAGGGGTGTTGGGGGAGGGGGTAATAGATCAAGGTTTTCAACAATGAGCAAGAACAAAAGGAGGTGAAACAAAATAATGGATGAGAATCCTCCAGCAATCACTCCCTCAGAGGAACATCAAATTAAACAATAATTTATGCAAGAAAATACCTACTGTCACAAGAGCTGAAGAAATCAGGTGAGAGACTACAGTACTTGGTGTTAGCATAACGTCAAGAAAAGACACCTTGAAGAGGGTAGGAAGGACAATCTTAAGTCATTTGTGGCATGTCCTGTCCCAACCCCAGGCAGCAGAGCATAGGAGATAATCTGTTTGGGGGATGGAGAAGGAAGTGTGTATGAGACTTTACCTTAGAACCTACCACAGTAGAATACAGCACCAGGCAGAAACCCATGGCCCTTGATTTAGGCTGATGCTCATGGAGGGAGCATTCAGACTCACTCTGGGACAGAAGGGAATTGGCTGCACCAGTGGGAAGAATCAAGTCCTGACCCATTTCACCACCAACTGACTAAAGTGGTTTCAGGCTCAGAATAAATTTCATTGTCAGGCAGGCCATAATAGCAACAGTCCTTGGGTGAGCCCTAGTGCTGTGCTAGTCTGGGAGGTCACGGGCTTGGGTGCAAACCAATGCAATATCAGTTGTGGCTACAGAAGTTCAGGCATCGCCACTCTCCCAAAACCAGGTAGTGCAGTGAGAAAAAAAATACTTGCATATCAGATAAAGTTTAAGGTTAAAGTATAGAAAAAAACAACAGAAAAAGAAGGTCATAAATAGTCAATATAGCAGTAGAATATAATAATTGTATAATAATTGTAAATACATACATACCCAAAGCTGATCCACTTGAATATGTGATGCAAATATTAACAGAACTAAAGGAAAAGATACACTGGAGTATAATAGAAAACTTCAACATCTCATTGTCAGCATTGGACTGATCATTCAGGCAGGCAGTCAAAAAAGAAACATCAAAGTTAAACCACACTCTAGAGCAAATAGACATAACAGACATTTGCAGAACATTCTACCCAACAACTGCAGAGTACACATTCTTCTCAATAGTACAAGGAACATTTGTTAGGCCACTAAAAAAGTCTTAAACTTTTTTAAAATTAAAATCACTTCAAATAT